TTCGTCGGCGAGTTCACCAGTATGGGCAAGCCCAGGCAGGCCAACAAGGCTGGCACCCTGTGCACAGTGGCAAACGCCGAGTTTATCGATGAAAACGGCGGGAAAATCACGGTGAGTGCGCGGCATGGCGCGCGCGCTTGTCTGTTGAGGTTGCCGCCGGGAGCCGGCGTCTCAGTGGTCGGGTGCTCGGCCCCCCTGGAGGGCGGCGAGGTGAATGTCAACATTTGACCATGCGCCCACATCTGCACGACTGGGGACCAAGCTCAGTCTCTGACAAGCATGGACCCCTCGCAGGTGACGGAGCGCGTCTTGACCGCCCAGTTTAAGCCACGGGGGCGTGATATGGCGTCGTGCATGCAGGGCGAGGCACGCCCGACGCGCGCCGCGGCACTGGCGGACGCCATCGTCAGGACCGAGGCCATCACCTCCCAGATCAAACGGTGCCTTTTGGACGCCCCGCTGAAAAAAGAGTTGCTGCGCGCGCAGGACGGCCGCCTCTTCATCAGGAGCTGCCGTCTGCGAGACGCCACACGCGGCGTCGACGTCGACGCGATCGCCAACCCAGAGGTCCTTCAGTGCCTATTTTAAACAACAGCGCTTTCTTATCTAATTTCTAGATAACGTAGCTTGTTGTCTAAAAAGTACACAACATAGTCATTAATAGACAACATGCATGTTAATTTGTATATTAAATGTAGTTCTGTGAAACATAGCGTTGCATAGCGTTGCACAGCGTTGCATACCACATCATACCACGTCACATTATTGCATAGCTTAGCATGGTACTCAGCAAAGAGCAGCGCAGCATAGCATTGCATAGCACGGCCATTTCCAGTATGATGCATTGCGTTTATTCGCGTGGTTCTCGGCGCCAGATAGTCGCGCTTCGGCGCGGCGTAGGTCCACGGGCGGCGTTGGGGTAACGAGATGTCTCTTGGCGCACGGCCCTGCGAGCTATTCAGAATTTCCAGTCGTTACTTTTTGCTTTCGCCATGGCAGTTCAGATTCAAGCAGGATCGATGCAGTCACCCGACAGCCAGACCCAAGACTGGCGGTCCTCATCTCGCACAATATGCTCTGATGCACAACAGATTGCAGGTGCGATTTTGGCCGCGGTCCCAAGCGCCGATTACTTTGACTATGGGGCCGATCCTGGCGGAGACAGCCTCACGACAGAGTGCGCGGATCAGCTTATGAAGTATTCCTTGTTCCTCAGGGAGCTGGGTGCGATCTCCCCCAACTTCAGCTTCTCCCAGAAGGCAACCGAGGACGCGTTCAAGCAGGCAGCCACCGAACAAACGTGGAAGGTCGGCAAAGGCGCGATGGAGAAGTGGGCGGAGTCGCAGGGCAAACTGATTAGAAGCATGGGCGCGTACCTGTACAACCCCAACCGACTGCAAATCAGACCCCATCGAAGGCTCCGAAGTGGTTCAATAACCTGATGGCGAAGATCGAGAGCGAGGGCGCACCAGGTTCAGCATCGGCGGCGTCAACGCCAGCTTCAGCATCAGCTGCGCCTCCACCGTCGGCAGCGCCACGCCAATTATCACATCGCATTGGGTTCGATTTAACTGGGCCTACTTCGAAAGTTTGGAGGTCAACGGATAAGAAGACGCACGAGTTCACCGAGGACATCTACGAGCCGAAGGGCTCTTTATTTATGCCCGCCAAGTGGGGGGGGGGCGGAATGAATGCAGAGCTGCACGCCTTGACCGCGGACGATTGGAAGAGCAGGGGGTCGCGAACCGCGAAGGCTAAACCGCGGCATTGGGTGGGGGAGCTCAACGACGGCACGAAGGTGGAGGTGAAACCCCCCCCCCCCCCCCCCCGACCGCGACAACCCTGGGGCGACCGTCGCCGTCGGTGGCAGCCAAAAAGTCCAGATATCATGCAGGGGGCTCGGCGCCGACGGAGCGATCGAGTGGCTCGCGAAGCATGCCGAGGCTTTCGCTGCTGGGAGGGCGACTGTGGAAGCGATCAAGGCTGCGAAAGCACAAGTTGATGGCGATGTTCCCAAGCGCCCAACAGCGGTTCGCCCGAAGCCAGCAGCGAAGGCAGACGACGACGAGGAGGGCCCTACCGAGAACAACGAGGAGGGCGAGGAGGAAGAAGCCGTCCACGACGAGGAGCTGGGGGAGGAGGATGACGAGGCCGACCAGGACATCAGGGTGCGCGAAACCATTCTACTATACTCTATTCGCTTTGGAAAAAAAAAAAATTGGATCGCTCGATTTGCTTTGGGCTGCTAGATTCTCTTTGGAACGCTCGATATTCTTTGGGTCAATTCATCGATCGATTCGCTGATGGCCGACACGTGGTGTTAAGTATGTTTTCCACTGTTGCATCGTTTCGCTTGAAACGCCCCCGCAATCCATCGAGGCGCGAGGATGGGCGAGGAGGAAGATCAGGAGGAGAGGGGGGGGAGGACGAAATGCAGGAGGAGGAGGAGCAGGAGGAGGAGGAGGAAGAGCAGGAGGGCTAGGAGGAACACGGGGGAGGCTGAGGCATAGCAGGTCGGAGTTCCCCCGAGGGCGCCGCCGTCCCCAAGAAGCCCTCGGCCGCCCAGATCGAGCCCGAGACAACTGGGGCCGCCATTCGCAAGAGGCCCTCCGCCGCCGTGGGCGAGCCTGCAGCCTTCAAGAAGCCTGCCTTAGGGGCCTCGAAGAGGACCTCTGGGGAGGCTTCCGCCACTTCATCGCCAAAGCGGCGCGCCCGCAGCCCATCGCAGGAGGCGCCGGCAGCCGCTGAGGATGCCGATGAGGACAGGTCAGGCATGGAGGGCCCCCAGATGTCTTCCATCTATTCCAGGTTCTATGCTCGTGGCGTCGCGGACCACCCCAAGCGGCGACAGTCGGACTGCCCCCAACAAAAACACCTAACCTTGAGAGGGGCAGCCATAAACAGAAAGCATGGCAGATGAAAACAACAGGACCCGAAACTTCTGAGGAATGGGATCTGAAACTAAGAGGACCGAAAACACAGGGCCCGACCAGCGACAGGACCGACGCGCGAAGATTTGAAGGGTTCGAAAACTCAAGACGTCAAGCAGTAACTTAAGTCGTACCTCGGTGAATTTGGCGATGCAGTCAGCCTGAATGCGCGATGATTGCGATTCCACTGATCGACGCGATGCATCGGCCATGCATTTCCTTGCCCCGACCCTTGGCCACTTGAAGGCCGCGCCTCGATGCGTCGGCGATGCAGCCAGCATGGGCGCGCGATGCCGCGATGACCGACGCGATGCATCGGCGGCCCCATCCCCTGGCCACTTGAAGGCTCGAGACCGCTGCAGGCGGGAAAGAGCCTTCGACACAGACCGACGCCCCCCCCCCCCAGAGCTGCGGCGCGAGCGATGAGCAGGGCCGACGATCACTATGAACGCGGAGACGAACAAATTCGCACCCCCGACGCCGCGGGCTCGCAAGGCACAGCGGTGGAACGAA